ATCCTGTTTTTTTTCCGTAAGACTTAATCTAAAAAACCAAGGCTGACTCTTTTTTAGCTTCTTCCCCTGTTGGGTTTAATAGGGGAATGTCCACAGTGAAAATGGAAACCCATGTGTATTTAAAGGCCCGGGATGCTTGGATTTCTGTAGTCCAGCTTGAAATACAGTGGAGGTTTGGAAATTGTCTCTATTTAATTGGATCATTATTCAAAGTGCCCTGGTGGGTTATGGAAGAAAATACAAATGAAGACAAACTGTATTAGTTTGGTATTTGAGGGAGAGAAAGAGACTTAGTGTGTTACTTTTTCCTTTGTTTGAAACAGGAGGTAGGGATAGTTAAAAAAAAATTTTTTTTAATGTTTATTTTTGAGAGACAGAGAGAGACAGAGAATGAGCAGGTGAGGGGCAGAGAAAAAGGGAGACACAATCTGAAGCAGGCTCCAGGCTCTGGGCTGTCAGCACAGAGCCCAATGCGAGGCTCGAACTCACGAACCGAGAGATCATGACCTGAGCCGAAGTCAGTTGCTTAACTGACTGAGCCGCCCAGGCACCCTAGGGATAGTTTTTAATAATGAAATTGTATCAAAGGAAGAAACATATCAGCAAGATGTGGATATACTAGGCTTTTTATCCTTGTGTGTTTAAGTACTTCACATATGTTTATCATCATTTTTTTTATATCAGCAAGTAATTGTTCCTTGAAAGCTGTTCTTTTTTATATTTTTTGGGGCAGAGAGAGAGAGAGAGAGACAAAGACTCTGAAGCAGGCTCCAGGCTCTGAGCTGTCAGCACAGAGCCCAACACAGGGCTCAAACTCACAAGCTGTGATATCATGACCTGAGCTGAAGTCAGATGCTTAACTTACTGAGCCACTCAGGTTCCCTGAAAGCTGTTCTTAAATTGTGACATCAGTGCCCTAATAAAACGGCTTCTCTCTCCATATTGGTTCAGCTCCTAAAAGGCTGGTATGATGCTTCTAAATTTAATATTATTACCTAGATGATTGTTATTTAGTCTCCAGGCATCAATTTCCCAAAATTGAATGCTGCACATTAAAAACAGTCAGCCTTTTTTCCTAGTATTTTTTTTATTCATTAAGTCTTACTTTTAAAAAAAGATACCAATTATTTTCTTTACTTTCAGTTAACTAAGCATTTATTCTATTTCCCCTTGTGGATCCAGACATACCACCGAGTGTTCCTGAGGAAAGTTGAGTAAGACACAGTCCTAGCCTTCCTAGACATTTAAGTTAGACCAAGACTTTTTATTTTGAAGATATTTCAGGAATAGATTTTAACATGCTTATTTACTCAACAACCTTTTCAATAAGCTAATTCATAAAGTCTTTTAATAGAGCACTTTATCTTTTTAAGAAGATAGCAACTCAGTACTTACACATAGTAGTTCTATTAAAAAGCTGAAATGATATGCATTTTTTTTTTCATAAGCAAGCATTGAGAATGTGTTTGAAACTGCAGTTCATGCATTGGTTTGGTTTGTAGTTACAGCTTTCTTCCTGGCCACCATAATGGGCGTGAGGTATAAGAGATCCAAGAAAATCATGCCAGCTGGTCTGGTTGCAGGTTTAAGGTAAGAAAAACTATTTTGATCTGTACTTTCTTCTGCCATAATTTTGAAGTGCTGACTTTTTGGCAGGAGTCAGTTTTAATTTGAAAGGTCAAAGTAATTTTTATGACAGTAAGCATGACTGTAAAACCTTAAAATATCATGTACTCAGTCAGTCTTTGGTATTGATGTACCGATGAACATTTTTGTGGAGTACACGTAGGGTTGCTATAGTATCTGAGCACATATACTCGCCTACCTTTTTCAGAATAAAGAACTGAATTCAGCCTCATTTTTCCTCAAGATTTACTCATCTGAAACAGTAAATGTATTCATTTCAATCTGATACTCAGTCTCTCTTAGAGTGTTATAGTGATAGTCTGCTACCCTTATTTTGAGTTTTTAAGGGAAGAAAGTTAATATTTTTAAAAAAGATAACAGGGAACCTCTGGTTTCTCTTATTTTGATCCTAGTAATTCTATCCATGAGATTAAGCATATTACCAAGTAAAAATTTACAGGTAACATTTTTAGTTCTTCCTGGAAGCTGTCTTTATTATGTTGAAAGCCTTCAACATGTGCATTTCCTTTGTTACACATTTTTACTTTTTTACTTTGGAATTTCCAAAGAAATAATGAAATGTATACAAAGACTGAAGTTTATTGCAACTTCATTTCTTTATTTCTTTTTCTTTTTTAAAAAAATATTTATTTTTGGGAGAGCGCAAGTGGGGGAGGGTCAGAGAGATGGGGACAGAGGATCTGAAACAGGCTTTACACTGACAGGCTGACAAGTAGCAAGCCTGTTGTGGGGCTCAAACTCACCAACTGCGAGATTATGACCTGAGCTGAAGTTGGACGCTCAACTGACTGAGCTACCCAAGTGCCCCTGCAACTTTATTTCTAATGGAACACATGATGAATTGAAAAATTAGAAACAACTTGAGGAGTGTCTGGGTGGCTCAGTTGATTAAGCATCTAGCTCTTGATTTAGGCTCAGGTCATGATCTCATGGTTCCCCCCATGTCAGGCTCTGTGCTGGCAACATGGATGGAGCCTGCTTGGGATTCTCTCTCTCCCTCTTTCTGTCCCTCCCTCCCTCTCCCTCTCTGTCTCTTTCAAAATAAATAAACATTTTTAAAAATCTTCACCAATAAGGAAATGTTTCAATACATGTTTTGTCTATGTAATGAAATACTGAGCAGGCATTACGTGCACTGTTTTCAAAAACTGTTTAGTGGCATTAGAAAATCTATTTTCTATTAGAAAATTAGAATGATACAATAGGAGATAAAAACAAAATAAACAACCAAATATAGTGTGATCTCAAAAGTTTGTATAAAAAACCAAGATAGGAAGGAAATACTTCACACTGTTAATAGTGTTTATCACTAGGTGGTAATGCAATGACTAATTTTCTCCTTTCTACTTTACTATAGAAATTTCTGGTGTGGCTATGTATAATGTTTATGGCTTGGTTGGGGGTGGGTGTCAGGGAGGAATGTGATTACAAGGACTGCCTTCCAGTGATGGCTATGTTCTAAAAATTATATTTAGTGATAGAAAGAATCAGAAGCACGGTTTTCGGGTCAAGAAGACAAGACCCCAGTCAATGGAAAGTAGCTGAGATTATAATAACACCCCAGAATTCCTCCTTGGTTATTTTTTCAAACCACTTGCCTTTACTAGTTTATGAAAGGCGTTTCTTTCCAAACCTTTCTCTTATAAAGGTTCATCCCAGATTTTCAGAACAATGAGTTCTGAGTTTGCTCATGCAGTCAATCAACATTTTTAAGTAGCTAATCCAGCTGGGTCTGGGAAGTTCCAGTATAGGGATAACGAGATCACCCCTGCTCCAAGGAGAAGCAAGAGAGAACCCTGGAAGCCAAAGTTTAGTAATAGTACGGGTTTGGTGAACATACTAACCTGTGTTATGCCACGTAAGCGTGACCTGCTCTTTGCCTTTCTTTTATTTTAATCCAGCCTCATGATGATTCTGAGACTTGTCTTACTGCTGCTCTGAAAATATGGAGGAACTGAAAACTAAATTCATGCGATTCTGCTGTAACAGGCAGAGCACATACTTTGTATTTAAAAGATAAGCTTCAGGGATGCCTGGGTGGCTCAGTCGGGTAAGCGTCCAACTGCAGCTCAGGTTGTGATCTCTCAGTTCGTGAGTTCGAGCACTACATCAAGTTTTGCAACTGGTGGTGTGGAGCCTGCTTGGGATTCTCTCTCTCTTTCTGCCCCTTCCCCACTTGTTCTCTCTCTCTCTCAAAATACATAAGTAAACTTAAAAAAAAGATGAACATCAGCATGGAATGTTATGTGTCTTATTCTACATTAAAAACAACAAAAACACTCCAATATGAACACTAGTTTGAGTAATTTTTTTTAAACAAAACCTCGACTGTTTTTCTACTTCTCTGATAATGGTTTCATTAAAAATATTTAATAAATCGTTACATTCTCTTTCATTCGCTGCGTCCAGTTTTCATATGTGTGGGGTGTTTTATTTTTTGATAATTCCAAACAGTTGGGTCTGAAGTTGAAATTAAACTGCCAGTTATCAGATAATGGAGTGCCCAAGGTGAACTTTACAAAATGCTCATGTATCTGTTTGTCATTTGCGTTGTATTAGAAACTGTATTTCTTCCATTTTAATTGTACTACTGCCAGTGTTGTTTTTTTCTCAGCACACTGCGTACTGACGGAATGTATTCGGTATTTAAATAAAATGCTTTCTGTTTTAAACCTGGTTTTCTCATTTTAATGTCCTCTCCATATATACTCAAGTGATTTTTAACATTTAAATGCTCAATTATTAATGCAAGTGATTGGAAAGGAGGTTTTTGTTTGTTTTTTTTTAAGCCAGAACTCTTCCTCAGGAGCAGATACTCTCTCTCACTGAAACAGTAATAATTCTGAAACAAAAATGATTTTGTCCCCGAGTTACTACTTCATTTTTAGAAATAGTTATGACTTCATGTCCAGGGCACTTACTTTTAGGCCCCAGACTGAACATCAAGAGACCTGAGTTCCAGCCCAGTTCTCCCACTGACTGGTTGCATGTTCTTTGGAAGGTCTTTCCTCTCTCTGGGTCTCAGTTTCTCATCCTTAAGGAGGAATTTGGACTAAATGGTTGACCGGGTCCCTTAAAGCTCTCAAAGCCCGCAGTTTTGATCCTGTTGTCTTTACTCAGGGGTGTCAGACTTCAAACCCACTCTTTACATGAGATGGTGAGTGGAGCCCCAGCTGAGAAGAGCAGAGTTGATATGCTTGTGTTCAGTTACCTTTCCCCACTGACTTTCGAGGAAGTTATTAGACTTCCAGTGATAAGTAATTCAGGAAAGGGAGGGAAGGAGGGAGGAAGACAGGAAGGGGCCTATGAGTTTAACCAAATAAAAATATTCTACTTAAAAAAAAAAATCCCACTTATCCTAATGGTACAAAGAGGTTGTTACCAAAAGAAGGTTGGAAAAAGTGGTTATCACTGGGGTGCTCTGTGTGTATTTGATGACTATAGAGATGACTGAGAAGACCCTTCAGATTTGGACTGACAACAGTTTACACTCAAAGTATGATTATGATACTAAAGTAGAAACTAAGTGTGAAATTGATGATAAAAGTGTATGCTCTATCTGTAAAAGACTCTAGTGGTTGAATGTTAAGAAACTAGTTTGAAGCTATGCTCTGTCCTGGACTTTTCCCAAAAGGATGTGGAAATGCGTGATGGCTGGTATATATGTGGGGCTTTTCCTTTTTTAAAGAAGTCTTCAATACACATTGGCTTACTCAGGATTGTACTCTTTTGCAATAAGTAGAATGCAGAAGAATCTTTATTTGGATGATTCTGATAGATTGGTGTTTTACTGTTTTATAAAAAACAGAAAAAGTGTTGTCTGATTTACAGGCCAGTATTAGGTAGTTTATTTCCTTTTGCTTATCTTTATCAAAGTGACCTTATGATACCTTTGTGGGTACTGCTACAAATGTGAAGTGAGATGTGCCGAGGCCTTTAGACCTCTTCGTTTGTTAATACTCAGCTACTATAGTACCCATGTTTTTAAGAAACATGCCACGTTTGGGGCGCCTGGGTGGCGCAGTCGGTTAAGCGTCCGACTTCAGCCAGGTCACGATCTCGCGGTCCGTGAGTTCGAGCCCCACGTCAGGCTCTGGGCTGATGGCTCAGAGCCTGGAGCCTGTTTCCGATTCTGTGTCTCCCTCTCTCTCTGCCCCTCCCCCGTTCATGCTCTGTCTCTCTCTGTCCCAAAAATAA